AGTACAGAAAGTAGGCAGGAGCAGTAGAGATTTGAAGACGATGTAATCAGTCCATCACCCTTGAAGTCGTAGATTTGAGGTTGTCAGTCCCTCAGCCTGGAGAAGTTCTGTTCCAAAGTCTGGAACTAACAGTGTTGAGACAGTATTTAAGTCTTACCTAACAACCACTTGCAAGCACTAAAATCAATGGAATATTATGAAATATTTCGTAGGAGCAAGTGAGAGGACCATCGCTCACTGGTAAACAATGGCACACTGGCTGGAAAGGCAGGCCCAGGCGGCTCAGAGCGTGAGTATGCGTCCCGGACAAAGGACGATTAGCGAGTTAACAGACCATTTGCGAGCCAATGTTTAGACGAAATAACGGGACTATTTCCGAAATGGACGACTTTCAGGCCGGACGTTTATTGAGGGACCACGTACCCCGGGCCAGTTTTCGGCCAATGTACGCCATTTCATACTGTTCAATGGTTTTTCTTAAATTTCATCGTTTTCTCACCTTCTTTACCAAGGCTGGAAATAGGAGCTTTTTTGGAGCGATGGTAGCTTATTTAGCACTTGCAAGCCTAAAATGAAGGGAAATACATGGACCCCCGCTTTTCCGAGCATCACATAGCGACTTAATCCGCATACCGCTTCCTTTAATCGCATTTTGCCCACATACCGCTAACCCTTGAGGTTTCGTCGTACTAGTACGTCTACGCTTAGGGTTTTTTACGTACTAGTATTCATAAATTCTATGTGTTTCCCAATTCTTTAGAAAGGGTGGTAGAAGCTTTCTTTGGAAGCCATGGTACTTTTTAGCCTTGCAAGCAAAATGAAACATCGAAATGGTATAAAATAACCATTCAATTTTTAGGTAGAACATATGCAACAGTTAGGTATCTTATTTCAAACGTTTTCGCTACAGTAGGCTTTTCAGTCGATTACAGAAAGTAGGCAGGAGCAGTAGAGAATTTGAGAGATTGTATCAGTCTTCAACCTTGAAGTCGTAGTTTGAGGTTGTCAGTCCCTCAGCCTGGAGAAGTTCTGTTCCAAAGTCTGGAACATAACTCAAGGTGTAAGACTGTATTAATTTCTTTTAACAACACTGCAAGCACTAAATCAATGATATTATACATTTTTGTAGCAAGCAAGTGAAGGACCATCGCTCTATTTTTGGTAAACAATGGCACACTGGCTGGAAAGGTAGCAGGCGGCTCAGAGCGTGAGTATGCGTCGGACGAAGGAAGATTTAGGAGTTTAACTGGGACCTTTGCGAGCACTGTTTAGACGAAATAAAGGGAATAATTCGCAAATTTGGACCGACTTTCAGGCAGACGATATTGAGGACCACTGTACTACCTGGCCAGTTTTCGGCCCATGTACGAAAATTTCATACTGTCAATGATGTTTTTTTATATTCAGTCGAATATTGCTCACCTTCTTTACAAAGGGCATTGGCACTAGGAAGCTTTCTTTGGAGCGATTGTCGTTATTTTAGCCTATGCAAGCATAAAAGCAATGGTTACATGGACCCCCGCATACCGATGCTCTTTCATAGCGATTAATACGCATTTGGCCGCTTGCGTTAATCGCAGAAATTTGCCTCACATACCGCTTAAAAACCGCTCACCGATTTTTCGTCGAGACGCGTCCAATGTGCGGCCTGAGCCACGCTCACATGTTCCGCCGGTGGCATTGTTTACCAGCCAGCCTCCGCGGTAACATCCAAGCATACAATCGGAATATTTCGTATTATTACAGTGTTTTCGGTGCTTTTTCTGGAAAATAAGTGACCATGGGCCCCAAGAAAGCTTCTAGTGCCAACCCTACAGCAATAAGGGTGAGAATTACAATAGAGATGAAGAAAAAGATCATTGATAAGTATGAAAGTGGAGTGCGTGTCTCCGAGCTGGCCAGGTTGTATAATAAACCCCAATCAACCATCGCTACTATTGGTGGTACAGCTGCTGCTGCTGCTGCACTGTCAGCTGCTGCTGCTGCTGTAGCATCGTCTGCTGCTGCTGTAGCATCGTCTGCTGCTGCGTAAATGTCTGTTGCTGTGTTGATCGTCTGTTGCTGCTGTACCACCGTCAGCTGCTGCTGCTGCTGTAGCATCGTCTGCTGCTGCTGTAGCATCGTCTGCTGCTGCTGTAGCATCGTCTGTTGCTGCTGTACCACCGTCAGCTGCTGCTGCTGCTGTAGCACCGTTGTTGGTGTGGCTTATTGAGAATACCAAGAAACAATTAACCCCAGAGGATTTCCACCCAGGATAACCCAAAAAAGTCAGTGTCATCGAAGACTGTCTAACTTATTTCCATTGGGGTCCTTAATCTTGTCTCCCAGGATGCAACCCACACAAGTCGACTAACACCCAGGTGAACAGGGAAAAATGCCTGGAACTAGTGCTCATATTGGTGAATTTAAAGCCAGCAAAGGTTGGTTTGAGAGATTTAAGAATCGTAGTGGCATACACAGTGTGATAAGGCCTGTTCTGGAAGAAAATGCCAAACAGGACTACAGTACTCAGGAGGAAAAGGCACTCCCAGGACACAGTGTCTCATCAGTCATTGCTGCATCTTCAATAAAGGTAAGTGTCATTTATTCTTCATTTAGTAGACTAGTACATGCACAATATATACTGTGCATGTACTACTCTACTATTGTGCATGTATCCTTCTCTTTGTGTGTGGGAAAATGTATATTTCATGTGGTAAAATTTTTTTTTTCATACTTTTGGGTGTCTTGCACGGATTAATTTGATTTCCATTATTTCTTATGGGGAAAATTCATTCGCATACCGATTATTTCGCACAACAATTACCCCTCTTGCACGGATTAAAATCGTTATGTGGGGGTCCACTGTATTATGAAATATTTTGTATGAACAAGTGAGGGGACTGTCGCTCACTGGTAAACTGGCACACTGGCTGGGAAGGGAGGCCGAGGCAGCTCAGAGCCGCGAGTATGCGTCCAGGACAAACGACGATTAGCGAGTCAACCGACCATTTGCGAGCCAATGTCTGGACGAAAATAACGTGACGATTTCTGAAAAGAACGACTATCGAGCCCAACGATTATCGAGGGACCACTGTATCACCAAGACCGCTAACTTCGTGAGAGTGTAATTCTGTAAGTTTTCCATCAAATTTTGCACTTTTGGTGGCATTACCTTTGGAAAAAGATATTATTCTATTTCATAAGAAATTTTTTTTTTTTTTAAATCCTGTGACCCCGAGAGCAAGTTTCAGATCAGGAGTTCCAATCCTCAAATGGTTAAAGTAAGAGGATTATGACTCCTGTTTTTATATTATTATTATTATTATTATTATTATCAACGTAAACGAGAGAGAACAAGAGACTTGGAAACTGTAAACAAACTGATGGCGGTGAAACAAACGTGTATTAAGACCTGTCCACTTTCTGTTCATACATGTTCATTTCGCATTATGCATATTTTTGTGAAGCTTTTTCCCCACAATACAAACACCTTACATTGTATACAAGTTGTCTTCACATTTGTGCAGTAGAATAAATAACATCAACACTCCCAGTCTCATGCAACACACCATTTTTAAAGGGAATGACACTACGAATGAAGACATACGAACGGAATATTTTTCTACAGTTCCCCCCCCCCCCCAGTAATACTATACTGTACACAGCTTCTCTGGTTTTGGATTAGAGAAAATGGAATTCTTGCCGTCACTACTACAAGCCACCCGGCTACACATCTCATATTTATGTCAGTTTGTTCTGCCATGGTTGTATGTATTATGTTTACGTAATATGTAGTGTGTTTCATATTATTAGCGAATCGCCATAAAGCAAAGTGCCATAAAGCGGGGTCCACCTGTATTCCATTGCATCAAATGATATCAAGAAACAGGCAATAAAATTATAAAAATCATCCTAGAAAACACTTCTAAGTCACTGTTTTAAACCAAACACACAGTTTTGCTTTTCCCATCATGTACTGCATGGGACAGTATTTTTTATACCGTGCACACTAATCACACAGACCCATTTTCTTATATCTAGGCCAAAATTTACTGCTCACAGCTTATCTGAGGGAGATGTTCTCAAAACGAAGATCTACGTAAAGGACACCAGCCTTAGTAATATAGATCTATGTTAAAAACCGTGACTTGGATCAGAAAAAAATCTGTATTAAAGTATATTTAAAATAATTAACACAGGAAAATGTCAGCAAATTTAGGTTGCAGTTTATGCTTATAATCTTGTTCAGGTGAGAGAAGACTGAACAAATAACTGACCAGTGTGGGAAAAAAAATGTGGTGGCCCTAGTGATAGTCATATTTCACAGGAAAAAATTTTTAAACACACAATACAACCAAGGTACCCTAGGAATGGAAGATACAAAATATAATGAAAAAAGTGTGTATTTAATAGGAACAATAAAGTGCACATAATGTACAAATATCTGTCTGTATTTTTTTGTTTTTTTCCAGACTCCAGCAAATGACTGGAAAACAGCAGTGATTATATTAACAACTACAACTGTAAAGTTGCTGAAAAAAAAAAAAACAGAATAATCTGGAGTAAAATTAAAACATTAATATGCAATATCAGAATTAATATTGAATTATTTTCAATTATACAAAAAGTGTTTGGTAAACAGAAATTGATAGTGCATGATAGTGACTTATTAATAAATGACTTTCCTTTCTGGATTCTCTCACACACACTCAACCTCAACATATTTTGGTGAAAAAGTTTATAACAAGAATAAGATAATAAATGAATCACTGCATGTAATTATGATGTATGAAAAAGCTTAATTATAAGCTGCATAGTACGACTGGATTGTTTGGTTTTAAACTGATAAACTACACAAGTCATTAAGACTGCTTTTCACCTGTATATAATTAATCTACAATAATTTAGTCCCTAAACTAGTGATCAAACAAAACTCAATATGTACATGCAACTCTGTTTCTATGCCCTCTATACTGGATAGAAACAAACATTCACACCAACATTACATATAAACTTACCTTGCTCTGGAAGGTTGAGTCTCATAAAGAGATCAACCAGAGCCTCTAATTTGACGAAGGGGCCACGGAAATAACTGGGCGGTGGCAGTAGAGATAATAAGTTAGCCACAGCAGGAGGGGAGGAAAGGCTCCACCTGAAAAGTACATTATACTTATTGAGGAGTTTTGGAAGTTTGAAGTAAAACATTTTCACTTAGATAGATATGGATGTTATGATTCAGTGTCACATGAAGTAATATGTCAGTGCATTTTTGGAAAGAAGTCAGTGAATGAGTGATAGCAATTGTTTCCATTTTGGGGTCACAAATACCTTGGTGAGAAACAGCAGACAGTAATAAAAATCTTGAAATGTAAGAGATGACTACTAGTCCTAGGATACACCTTTGTCTAAGAACTAGTTTTAGTAAAAATTAGTTGCCTTCTCTCATATATACCTTAACCTGAGTCTCACTTTATCTAAACCTGATAAAACCTAAGTATAAATGAAAGTGATTATTAAACCTTGAGTAAAGAAGTCGTTTCTGAGGATGTACAGCATTTTCAAACGGCTTTAAACTATACAAAATGAATGTCATTCAAGACAAATAATGAATTAATGAAAGATGAAGCATTTTTACCAGAAGAAGTTAAAAGCCAAAATGACTTCCTACAACTAAACACAAAATATCACCATATTATGAGAGTATAAGAGTCACAATACAGTGGCTGAAACTAGTATTTGCAACTAACCCACAATTTAAAGAGGAAACTTTAGGTGACTTCTGGATCAAGATAGGAGTAATAATGGTGTAGTATGGACCAAAAATGTTTAAGTTCTCAGCTGGGACAAGGAGTACCTAAATAATAAAAGGCAGAGAGACATTCGAATGAGAAATGAGCGGAGTTCTGCAAAGATTAGTTTCAGACCCCAACTGTTCAAAAATTGTCAACTAGTCATGAACCACTACATTACCTTTCACAGGGTGTTCGCCTGGTATGTATTTTGCCTTGGGTTTGAAGGGAATCATCTGTGAAAAATCGGGTCTCGCATAAGTTGGTTCCTGGGCCTCGTGAATGGACAAGCCTCGGGGAATGTTTGGATTAGTGATCATTGTGTGTGTTGAGATGTCTCGATAACCAATTGCTCTGAAAGTAAATGGTGATAATAGTGATCATTTCAGTTGATACGTCTCTATAATTAGGAGTTTCATAAGTAAATTTCTTCACAAAATGTTGATCTTTCTTCTTCTTCTTTCAACAAACCGGCCGTACCCCACCGAGGCAGGGTGGCCCAAAAAGAAAAACAAAAGTTTCTCTTTTTAAATTTAGTAATTTATACAGGAGAAGGGGTTACTAGCCCCTTGCTCCCGGCATTTTAGTCACCTCTTACGGCACGCATGGGTTACGGAGGAAGAATTCTGTTCCACTTCCCTTGGAGATGAGAAAATAAACAAGAACAAGAACTAGAAAGAAAATAGAAGAAAACCCAGAGGGGTATGTATATATATATGCTTGTACATGTATGTGTAGTGTGACCTAAGTGTAAGTAGAAGTAGCAAGACGTACCTGAAATCTTGCATGTTCATGAGACAGAAAAAAGGATACCACCAATCCTTTCTTCTTTCTTTCAATGTACCAGCTGTATCCCACCAAGGTGGGGTGGCCCAAAAGAAAAAACTGAAGTTTGTCCTTTTAAATTTAGTAATATATGCAGGAGAAGGGGTTACTAGCCCCTTGCTCCCGGCATTTTAGTCGCCCCTTACGACATGCGTGGCTTACAAAGGAAGAATTCTGTTCCACTTCCCCATGGAGATAAGAGGAAATAAACAAGAACAAGAATTAGAAAGAAAATAGAAGAAAACCCAGAGGGGTGTGTATATATATGCTTGTACACGTATGTGTAGTGTGACCTAAGTGTAAGTAGAAGTAGCAAGACGTACCTGTAATCTTGCATATTTATGGGACAGACAAAAGACACCAGAAATCCTACCATCGTGTAAAACAATTACAGGCTTTCGTTTTACACTCACTTGGCAGGACGGTAGTACCTCCCTGGGCGGTTGCTGTCTACCAACCTAATACCTAGAAAATGTTGATGTCCAAGAAATTAATGCAGAATATATCATTCTGTGTTTTCAAACAACCTTCTTTTCAAAGAGTTGTCACGAGTAGTCGCCTTAACTATGTGTTGCAAGCCTTACATATGGCTGCCAGGTCAATTAACCAGGTTTTTACTGCCAGTGGAATGCAGGCCTACAAAGTCATCACAACCTATCTGATTAGGCATTTCAGTACTGCACTTTACCACAACAAAAAAATTGTGCTAATACTCACTTAAGTTCAGCAGGGGTACAGGGATAAAGGTCCATAAACTTGTAGCGGTCAACAAGCTGAGCTGTATCCTTCCCCTCAAACTCTTGCAGCTGTGAAACAAGCAAGATTTATTACTCATACATAAAATGAAAAATCATGGACAAATAATTTACAGGACCAGAATTTTCAGATGTGTGCGCTAGTAACAACCCTTGGTCATTATGGAGCCATGACATGTCTTCTACACTGCCAATAACAAAGGTAGTTACATGAAGTAGCAAGTGTTCAGTATAGATCAAACTGGATTATTTCCTCAGGAATATTAAGAGTTAAGAGAAGGTAAGCACTGTCACCTGTACTCTCATCCTTATCACCATACCACACAAATTCCATTCTATTACCCAAAAAATCACAACACATTATATGCTGACTTATTTATAGTGAATTAAATATAGTTGGCTAGTTGCTAAGTGTTAAACCACACATGTATAAAATTTGTAAGTAAATTTAAGTCAAAATATGTTACTTCCAGAACAATTTTCCTCTCTACAGGGAAGGGTTTGAGATATTTGCTGTTTGGAGTGACATCTGAAATGTCATAACTGCACACCTCTGCAAAGACAGTGATTGTGTGTGAATGATGGTGAAAGTGCTCCATGGGGAAGTGGAACAGAATTCTTCTTCCATAAGCCATGTGTGTCATAAGAGGCGACTAAAATGCCGGGGCAAAGGGCTAGTAACCCTTCTCCAGTATACATTACTAAAGTTAAAGAAAAAAACTTTTGTTTTTCTTTTTGGGCCACCCATCTTTGGTGGGATATGGTTGGTTTGTTGAACAAAGAAGATAATGAAAGAGTTTCTTTTTTGGGCCATCCTGCCTTGGTGGGAAATGGTTGGAGTGTTAAAAAAAAAAAATCAACATGTAAGCTGTTTCCCACTGAGGCAGGGCAACCCAAAAAAGAAACACTTTCACCATCATTCACACATAATCACTGTCTTTGCAGAGGTGCCCAGATATGACAGTTCAGATGTCACTCCAAACAGTCAGTATCCCAAACCTCTCCTTTAGGTGCAGGCATTCTACTTCCCAACTCCAGGATTCAAGTTCAGTTAACTGGTTTTCCTGAATCCCATTACAAAATATTACCACGCTCAAACTCCAACAGCTCCTCAAGTCACAGAAACCATTTGTCTCCATTTACTCCTATATAACACACTCACACATGCCTGCTGTATGTCCAAGCCCCTTGCACACAAAACCTCTTTCACCCCCTCCCATAATGTTCCAGGTGTAATGTTCTCATAACGTGATACTGATTTAAAACATTGTTGGGCTTGTATATATAAAGAAATGGTGCTGAAAAGTTTTAAAAAAATAAAGATTAATTAACACTGAGACAATACTACAGTGGTTAATAATTTTGTTTCCATATGTATCTCACCTTCTGCAATACATGTGCTCGTCTTTTTTCAACCTTGACAATAGATGCTAAGTCTCCAACATTACACTCAAACTCCAGAAAACGATTCCAAAGTCCTACTGTATCTTCATTCTTCAGTTGTCCTGAGGTTAAAACACGCTCAAATAACACCCTCGTGTTGTTATCCTCTGCAATACAAAAATTAAATCATTAGAAACAATGTAACTTGACAAAAGTGTGTTTGTATAGAAAACAGTTAGACAAATACTGTTCATGCTTCACATGGGTCCATATTGCTATACTTGGCAGTATGAAGTATGCCTTGTCTCAGAGAAAAGTGAAGAATGACAGGTAAGGTGTAGGTAGGAAATATAAGTGACAATTTCAAATGGGCTTCCCAGGGCCCTTGAAACAAAGGTATCTTCCAGTGTTCAAAATGCAGTTTTCTCATCTATTTAATGCAATATCTCAGTGCACCTAACCTATATATTTTTAATATCAAGTCATTTTCATCCTTGTTTAAGTCTATCTGAAATGTTGTACATACTATGACCTTCTGAAAAATTGTATCACTTGTATTTTTTGAAAATTACTTTTCTTATTACATCATCTTTGCTCTGATAATTTAACCTTACCTACAACTTACTATATCACCTCATCTTACCCATGTATAAATATACATACTGTACTACCTATGAAGACTGCCTGATTTTTATTATTAACCCCTTGAAGGACCATGCCATAGTTCTATGGCTTCGAAGCCTGGGTCAGTACCATAGTACTACGTCATGAGCTCAGCTCACTTGTCGTGGGGTTCGAATTGATGGATGTGGGTAATAAACACACATGTCGGATGGTTGGTAACTTATAATTGCTGGTAAAATAAAGGAGAGCCTCAGAGCCTGACCTGTCTCCTCTTATACCTTGAGTTCAACTGCCGAGGGTGACCCAGCATGGGCACGGGATTCAAGGAGCTCATGACGTCACACACAGTGACTCACTAACAGAGGGAGGCTGTGAATCAACGGTTTTAACTGAAATACTACAGTACAGTACTACTGACACACTCAGATAAGCTGTGAGCTGTAAATTTGGGCCTAGATATGAGAGAATGCATCTGTGTGGTAAGTGTGCACCATATAAAACAAATCCTGCAGCACACAGTGTATAATGAGGAAAAAAACTGCAACCATGTTTTTGGATTAAAACAGCAAATTTTGCAACGTATTTTTATATGGTTTTTATGGTTGTATTCATAGTTTCTTCATCTCATTTAATAGAATGGAAGATATATTATAGAAAAAGAGATGATTTTGAGTGGTTTTAATACTGAAAATAGCTTGAAATTGAGCTCAAAGTAGCGGAAATGTTCAATTTTTGCCGATGTTCATGAGTAAATAAATCACATCATGTGTCCAGCTAGTGGGTCTAATGTGCACTCACAAATATTGCATAACAGTAAATCTTCTATTCCTCCTCCGTAAGCCATGCATGTCGTAAGAGGCAACTAAAATGACGGGAGCAAGGGGCTAGTAACCCCTTCTCCTGTATATATTACTAAATTTAAAAGGAGAAACTTTCGTTTGTCCTTTTGGGCCACCCCGCCTCAGTGGGATACAGCTGATGTGTTGAAAGAAGAAAGAAGTAAATCTTCTATTTCTTGGTGTGAATAAAAATTATTTATGTGAATAAAAAATCAAAATGGAATTCATCTGTAAAGTCTGGAAACATAACTAATAAACAGAAGAAATGTTATTTTAGAGCCAGGAATGCCTGCATCATTTATTCTGGGCCCTATTTTGAAATTAGAATATTTTGAGCTTTGTGTGAAATTGGCCAAATTACCAATTTCTGATCACTTTATTGAGTAGTTGAAATAGTTGACTGGGCGATTTCTTGTGCTCAATAGATAAAATGGAATACATACTAGTGAAACAGCTAAGAATTTGGTCTAATGGAATAATGTAATTGGCCGAAAATAGGACTCAAAGTGGGCAAAATTACCGATGCATAAATACTGCTGACACAGGAAAATTCGCAAGTGTAATTTTGCACTTTGTGTTTTAACCCTTAAACTGTCCAAACGTAGATCTTCGTTCACTCGTGTAGTGCTCCGAACATAGATCTACATTTATTTTACACGCTTTCAAATGGAGAAAATCAAGGTCAGAACGCTACGCACGTAAACGTAGATGTACGTTTGGACAGTTTAAAGGTTAATACATTCAGAAAAAGATTCTCTACCATTTCAAAAGAAAAAATAATAAAAAATTTTCTGAAAATTCTTGGACCCTGTGGGGAATCTTCAGATTGGGAGTCTGGACCCTCAAGGGGTTAATGATAAAGATAAAGAGGTAAAGATGTTTATTTTGACAAATTACATGGTTGTACAGAGGAATATAATAGTTGGGTGTACATGCCAAAAGCCCCTTTGTATGCAGAGCATTTTGGGCAAACTTAAAAATTAACTTAATGGAATACAATACAGCCTCTCCTCACTTAACGACGGAGTTCAGTTCCTAGGATCAAATCAGTAAATGAGTTCGTCACTAAGCGAGGAGCATATTATAATGGTAGTGGGTTTGTGTCAACCATCTTTGATAATGTTTTACTATCACACCTTTGCACCATTTATAGCATTTTTAGTATATTTTTAAATGTTTATACAGTAGTGTACCATATACTGTAATAAACAGAGTAGAGGAAATCAGCTCTAATATACATTATTTAGGTATGCATGCTGGTCAGAGAGCTTGTCGTAAGACCGAGTTGTTGGTAAATGAATGTCACTGAGGAGAAGCTGTTCTGACAAGTTGATGAATAAGACATACATAAGACACTTTGGTACCCTTAGTGCCAAAACTGAACACCTCTTATCAAAGGCCAAGGGACAGAACATCTCAAAATCACCTCTCCTCATATTCCACTCTGAAGACAACTGAAGAAGCCTATTGTGCAGGTAAAAAGCTTTGAAATAAAGATACCCAAGTGTTGTACATAAGTCTTATGTATCAGACTCACAGACTTTCCCTAGCAGGTAAATACATTTAAATAACAAAAAGACACAATACTGTGACTAGAATAACACACAAATAACTCGCGCATAGAAGAGAGGAGCTTGTGACGACGTTTTGGCCTGACTTAGACGATTTACAGAGTCACACTAACAGAAAGGAGAGGAGGGAGTATATATAGGCCAGCAGACAGGGACAGGACCAGAGAGATAGAAGGACTACTACCTCTCTGGTCCCGTCCCTGTCTGCTGGCCTATATATACTCCCTCCTCTCTTTTCTATTAGTGTGACTTTGTAAATGGTCTAAGTTGGGCCGAAACGTCGTCGTAAGCTCCCCTCTTCTATGTGTGGGTTATCTGTGTAAATATATTTAAAATTGCTGACATAAGCAGTATACGAGTAGACACAAGAAAAAATTATGCAGTATATGAAGACTGGGTGTGAGGCAGCAATGTGTGGTGTAAATATTAGGCAGAGAATTTGGAGAAAGAAATTAAAAAAGTGATGTAAGGTGACCGAGAGGGCTGAGAAGGTGTGGGCATTTAGAGAGGATGGAGAGGGACAGAATGATGAAGAGGTCATATAAATCTGAGGTGGAAGGAAGAAGGGTTAGGGGTAATACCAGGAATGGTTGGGAGGAGGGGCTAAAGGAGGCTTCAAGTTTTAGGGGACTTGAGCATTCAGCAGGCTTGTGTGAGCATATCAGATAGGAGTGATTTATGACAAATTGTTTTTAATGGATATGCTATTGGAGTGTGAGCAAGGTAACATTTATGAAGGATTCAGGGAAAACCTGGTTAGCTGGGCTTAAGACCTGGAAGTGGAAAGGGAAGTGACAACACTGAAGGACGGGTGGGGATGTTGAAGTTAAAGGGTAATTTATATAGTGATGTCAGCATGCTTCTAGAAAGACAGCAACTAATTGAATGATGTTGAAATGGTTCCTGCTTTAGGTCACCCTGTCTTGGTGACCCAAAGCAAGATATCCAACAAAGATAAAACAAAACAGAATAACTGGGTCATTATTTGCACAATATAAGAATTGTACAAGCACAATAAATAAAAATTGGAAGATACCATGATACCCAAATGTTGCTCAAGTATCTCATTTATCACCTTTCAATTGGCTAAATCATTTATCCCCTTTCTTTCTTTCAACAAACTGGCCGTATTCCACCGAGGCAGGGTGGCCCAAAAAGAAAAGCAAAAGTTTCTCATTTTAACTTCAAGTAATGTATACAGGAAAAGGGGTTACTAGTCCCATGCTCCTGGCATTTTAGTACAGGTCTGCCATCACAAATCCGGCAATCAGACATCTGGTTCTATCAGTTATTCGGCACTAATTTCGGCTAGCATAATTTCAAAGTTCCAGGGTCACTACACCAACCTGCTGGTACTGTTTGGTGGTGCTACTTGCTGCACAAGTCATTTCAATTTCTTTTTCTCCATTTATTATAACCTGCTTACTTTTAGCCCTAGCCATGGTTCCAATGAATAAAAGAAATGCTTCTTGTTGTGTAAAACACCTACACAGTACATTATCCATTAAAGATAAGGTGGCTTTGAAGCCACTGTCAGCTGCCATGAGCTCAGTCTCGTGATGCAGGGGAATATACTTTATTATTGCACTAATATCAACACTAAGGCTTATTTGCCTATCACAATTGATCTAATATGATATAAACAATATAAATAATATAAAAACATGTTAAATACTCCAGAATGAATAATATTTGGCATAATACCGAGCAGTTCAACGGAGGTATGAAGAGGATATGGGATACAAGTACCATTCTCCTATCCCTGTCTTGGGGCTTATATTAGAGAAAATGGAGTATAGCACAGGGCTGCGATATACACTCGTACTGCACCTTAAAACTGAAACAATAAAGCTATTTTCTCTACATAGATTATCACACATAGCAGCATATGTGTAGAGAACCTAGGATAACCCAAAAAAGACAGACAAAGTGGCTTATTTCTAGTACCTGGCTTGGGTTAGCCATATATGATTTTTGGTAAATATTCGATTCCCAGCCAGGGTAGAAACATTGGGCATGTTTCTTTACACCTGTTGTCTATGTTCACTCATCAGTAAATGGGTATTTGGGTGTTAGTGGACTGGTGTGGGTCTTATCCTGGGACACTGACCTAATTTGCCTGAAATCCTTAGC